GGTGGTGGCTCTCATATAACTCTCGTGAACAACTGAAAAAAGCGCTACTGAATTAACATGACTATTGTCAGGATAGTAGGTAATGAACCTCAAGTGTAAATGAACTCCTCAGGCTACAGTTATTTACTAATCTCATTTATAACCTGTTACGTCATATGTCTTTGCAAATGCAGTATTGTTAAAATGCATGATACTTTGGTATTAGATCTTCAGCTGGAACAGATTTGAGCAGGCTGTGAATTGACGGTTCGGGGTTAAGAACCTAGAATATAGAATTTCAAATTGTTGCAGAAAAAGGATCTGGGTTTTCTGGCGAGGGTGGTCATATGCAGTGAAGATTTTTTGAGGAAACTTACCGTTTGAGACGGGTAATATTCCTTTGCGGAACTTTTTTATTAAGGATTTGTAGGACTTGAAGGAGCGGCTTGAGAGGTCCAGACTGCCTGAAAGTCTGGAAAATTCAGATACTTTTGAATATGGCTTTAGTCCATCATATTTAAAAGAAGTTATTGATTATTGGAAGAATTCGTACGACTGGAAGAAATGGGAGAAAACTCTGAACCAATTTCCCCAGTTTACAACATCACTTGAAGGCTTACGAGTAAGTTTACAAATATAGTTCATATTTTCTTTTTGGAGTTAAAGTAACTGAAAGATCAAAGAATAAAAGTTATGTATTTTTCGTAACAGTAGTATTAAAGTGGACATTGGATACATGTTAGCAGTTCCGTTTTTTAGGTTCACTTTATCCACGTAAAGCCTCCACCTGGAAAGTACAAAAAAACATTCCCACTTTTAATTTCGCATGGGTGGCCCGGAAATGTTTTTGAATTTTACAAAATTCTGCCTATGCTATCTGACCCGATCACTTATCTCGGTCATTCTTCAGATTATGCATTTGAAGTTATTGCACCATCTATTCCTGGCTTTGGCTGGTCCAGCCATCCAGCAAAGAAAGGTATTAAGATGAGTTTTATAATGAAACGAATTTATAGAGTTGTATAATATTACTTTTTTAGTGGATAGTTAGCTCTCAGATTATAATGGAGGGAGTTTAGGCTTTGATCAGTGGGCAGTAGCAAGGATTTTTCGAAAACTGATGTTGCGTCTAGGCCATAGAAGGTTTTTTGTTCAAGGTGGCGATTGGGGAGCAGTAATTACGAAGAATATCGCTATCTATTACGCAGAAAGGTCACTTCAACAACTTGAGGCAGTATAGTTAACTAAAAATCTTTGAGTTCTTAAACAGTACCTGTCGATAAAGTTGTTTAATAAGTTCTTTTCAGCGTTCTGGGCCTCCACCTAAATTTGCTACAGGTACCCCCACACTCGAACTTTAGAGCTGCAGTTCTCACGGTTCTCGGATTCCTTTTGCCTCCAGCTACTCTCTTCAGTCATCCTGGTTCATTCATATATGGTATTGGTGGAGTGAAGGATCTTTTTTTGCAGGAAACTGGTTATTTTCATATTCAGGCAACGAAACCAGATACAGTAGGTAAGCCATTAAAGACAGATTTATTATTTGTCATCCGGGACGGTTAGTTGTGTCGGCCAAATCATTTTTTTAATGAAAAGGTGCTCTAGCAGTTTAACATTTTGTTTAGGTAAAAAATGAACGATTATTTGCAGGTATTGGCTTGACAGACTCACCGGCTGGGCTAGCTGCTTATATTTTGGAAAAGTTTTCTACGGGGACTGCTCGACATAATCGTTACTTACCGGATGGCGGGCTTACGAAGTAAACAACCTTTCTCTGGTTAAAAGGAGGAGTTATGTTTCTGAGATGCTTAGATACTGTCTCAGTTGCGTAATTTTTAAGTTTGTTTGAAATGGTTTCTAATCAGCTGAGGTTTTTTGTATGCATTTTAAGAAGTTGCACAGATTTTGAGGTCCTAAAGGGAGAGGAAAATGTGATTTCTTTTTTGGTTTTTTGGAAAACGGTTGGAAATTGTCCTTTTCTTGAAATGTTTACAGGAAGTTCTCTCTCGATGAGCTTTTAACTGTAGTGACAATTTATTGGATCAATGGAAATATAGTTTATTCTCAGAGGTTCTACAAAGAGTATGTTAATTCGCCCCACGTAGCTGCAACAGAAAGGTTTGTAGTTATTTGTTTTAACGAATTTTTATTATGCTGGGTTTCAGTTATTATGAGGGTACTGTGCAACTGTTTAAAAACTATCACTGAATAGGCACTTGAACAAATTTCGATTTTTGTTTTAACCAAAATGATAAACACTAAACTGCTGCAGCGGGGGTACTTTTTGATTCAACATAACTGAACCAGTTTAAAGGATAAAATTTTTGTAGAAATTGGTCAAAAGAGATTA